GTTTTTTCTTATTTTTAAAAAGGGTAATGCTAGAGACCTCTAATTTAAATGCTTGGAGTAGGTGATGGTAGATTTTAAAAATGGAAAAGGCCAAAAAAAAAAAAAAACCAAGACACAGCACTGATGTGGCAGTGGGTGGGACCCACTGCCACATCACTAGTGGTACCTCTAATTAGAGGTCCCAAGCATTTTTCTTTTAAAAATTACATCTTTTTTTTTTTGAGATTTAAAGTTTTATTATAGATTCTTTCTCTTGATAATTTAATTTTTTTAAATATCAATTTTATTTTCACTGGGTGAATTAAATTGACACCTCTCACATTTTAAAAATTATAATCCACTCCCTAAGATTTAAAGTAACATTACCAATTGTCCTCTCAGTTAGTACTAGTTGAAAAAAAAATTATTGAAAAAAAATTATTTGAAAAAAAAAATAATTGAAAAAAAATTATTAATTTTTAAATTTCTATTTAAAAACCAACGTAAACCCATTTTTTAAGTTTAAGTTTTTTCCTCATATTTACAAACTAAGACAACTATTTATAAACCAAAAAAATTATCAAACAATTTTTTATGATAGTTTCTTTAATTTTTGTAAATATAAATTGAAAACTGAAAATGAAATGGTTACCAAACAGTTTTCAAATGGTAAAAATATCGTAAAATTAACAAATAATTAAATAAGTTACCAACGTAAGAAATGATTTATCAAAAAATTCTTAAGTTATGTATGGTTTGATTTTTAGAATTTTTTTTAAAAAATTAAAAATTAATTTGGTTAAGAAATAAAAAATAAAAAATAATTATCTTTTAATGGTAAAAAATAATTATCATTTTAAGTTTTGGACAGCTTATATACATACATATGGCTGTTTCAATTTAATTTGTAAAAAATTATTTCTAACCACTCGAAAGGTAAAAATTATATAAAAATGATAATTATTTTTTATTTTTTAACCAAATTAATTTTTAATTTTTAAAAAAAATTTTAAAAATCAAATCATACATAGTGTAAGAATTTTTTGATAAGTCATTTCTTACGTTGGTAACTTATTCAATTATTTGTTAATTTTACGACAGTTTTACCATCTGAAACCTACTTGGTAACCATTTTGTTTTCAGCTTTCAGTTTATATTTACAAAAATTAAAAAAACTGTCATAAAAATTTGTTTGATAATTTTTTTGGTTTATAAATGGTTGTCTCAGTTTGTAAATTTGAAGAAAAAATGTAAATTCAAAAAATGAGTTTACGTTGGTTTTTAATCAGAAATTTAAAATTTTACTAATAAAAAATTTTTTCAATTAATTTTTTTTCCCAATTAATTTTTTTTTCAATGAATTTTTTTTCCAACTAATACTAATCGAGGGAGCAATTGGTAATGATACTTTAAACCTTAGGAAGGGGATTATAATTTTTAAAATGTGATGGGTGTCAATGTAATTTACCTAGTGAAGGCAAAATTGGTATTTAAAAAAATTAAATTGCTGGGAAAAACTGTGATGAAACTTTAAACTTCAAGGACGGAGATGTAATTTCCAAAACATGAAGGGGGGAACTATAAGAAACATAAACCTTAAGGGGTGTGTGTGTAATTTACCCATGAAAAAACAACAATAGAGTGGTATAATAAATTTTTTTATAAAATTATGAGAAAGTATTATAACATTTTAATTATTAAATTGTATAAATTTTATCATTGATTTATAATTTTTTTTTCTGTCTTGTATTGTTGTTTTTCCTATTAAAATCTTAAATTCAAATTCCCATAAAGAAAGGGAAAAAAAAAGAATTTAGTGTATTTAGTTTCAGTTTTCTGAATTCAATTTTTTAAAAACTGAATTTTTTGTTTTTCTTATTTTTTTATTTTTAGTAAATATTTTTCAGATTTTAAACATTTTTTTAGTTTTTTAGATACACCTTACTTAGATGTATCTAAAAAATTTTGTAAAAAAATATTTCAAAAAATTAATAAATATACAAAAATACGAAAAATATACAGAATTTTCATATTTTTTTATATTTTTGGTATTTAGTGAATTTTTTTTAAAAAAAAAATTCACGAAAATTATACTTTTTAAGTGTATTTATATTAAGTGTGTCCAAAAATTAAAAAAAATTGTTTAAAATATTAAAAAAATTCACAAAAAATACAAAAATAAAATAAAATAGAGTTTTTTATTAAATATTTTTAAAAAACCTAAACCAAGCAAAGTGATTGATAGTTTACCGGCACACTATTGTTAAACTGTGGCCTCGTTTGGCCAATGTTGGATCACATATTAATAACAAAGACACACTGTTTCGACTCTGGTAAAAGTGGAAAAAAATTATTATCAAGGGGCCATCCTAGTAGGTAAGGGAGTATACTCTGGTAAAAGGGGAAAAAAATTATCATCAAGGAGTCATCCTAGTTGGTAAGGGAGTATACTCCTCTCCTTATTGACCACGGTTTGAATTCCCTACTACTCAAGTGGAAGTCTAACGGTTTAGGTGGATCGACTAGCTTCTCTCAATTTGACTTATAAGGATAGATCCTAAGAGTCTTACATTGGGAGTGTTCTGGGTATCAACAACAACAACAACAAAAAAAAAAGTGGAAAAAAATTGAGAGGAGCGAGCTTCCACTGTACAATGTGTGTCATTTTAAATTTATTTGGCATTGGGTCTAATTTAGTTAACCCAAACTTGGCTTTAAAAAAAATTTAAATCCCAAACTCGCCAATTTAACCCAATAAATATAAGCTATTGATTTTTTTTTTTTTTTTGTGGTGTCTGGAAGGGAAATTAAATTATTTATATTATTATTTTTTATTATTTAAATGTGGAACATTAACAAATTCAATAGTAAAATCGATAGTATGATCTTTTAACACATGTTTCAATATAAGCTTTAGAAATAATTATGTATATATTTTGTCTTTTATAATTTTTTTATTTTATTTTATAACTAAAAATAATATATAATTATGATTAATATTTTATAAATAAACGGGCCAAGCTGAGTTAAAAATCCCAAGCACAATCCGAATATTAAATGAGCACAAATCTCAACCCAATACAACTCTATAGGCCAAATATTTTTTTCAAATCTCAAAAATATTGTGCCCCTTCTTTTTTGTTATGAATGGTTAATTTTTGTAAGGCCATATCTACTTATATGCGTGATAGTAATACACATTTATCACATTTCACGCAATTTATGTAATTTCAAAAGTCCCTACATTTTTTTTTTTTTTTTCAAATAATAGCAAAACTTCTGCAATGAAGAAGTTTATCATGACTTTGATCTCAAGGACGGCCCAGCTTTATCAAAAGACCTCAGTTTTCTAAGTACTTGTCTAAAAGCCCAGCCCAAAAATAATCTTTGTCCAAAGAAAGCCTAACCTAAAATTGGAAAAAGAAAAATAATAAATAAATAAATAAAAGAGACATTCATTCATAATCCATCTTTACCTAGTTATATTTCACTTAGGCCAAGTTTGGGAAGTCTCAAAAAAGTTAAAAAGTCAAAAAGTTACTCCAAAAGTTAAAAAGTTATCACTATTCATCAAAAGTCAACAATTACGGCTGTACAACTCCCAATACTAATTTTTCCATTCCCTACACATTAATTTATATAATTTTTTAATACACATTTTTTCATAAAAAGTCAAAAAGTTAATCCAAACATTCATATTTTCAACCTCAACTTTTTAGTCTAAAAAGACAAAAAGTGCACTTATTTAGGATACCTCAAACAACCCATCTAAATTATTTTTTTATAAGTTATATGGGTGATATAGTTATCAAAATACCCGTAGTGAATCGCGCATTAATATTCACATTGACAACATGAATGTTCTATGATATAAACATTCACACGATCAATGTGAATATTCACACTGTTAAATTTATTTAATATAAATGTTCACATCATGAAACATTCAAAATAGTCTAAAATAGTGCGCATCAAGTTCTTTGTAAGTGTAAAATTATCCATAAAAATAGGATTTGATGAATCAAATGTCCAAAATAATAGAATTTATTGAAATACAAGAATATTTTATTGAATAATTAGGATATAAGTACTTGAAAAAAAAATTCTAATAGATTTCTCTAAGTAAAAAGTTTTTTGTCAAAATCAAAAACCATAACGAAAAGAAACCCAATCTTATTCACAACATAAACACAAATAACTTTTTATAATGAATTTTTATTTCAAAATTTATTTTCAAAATAAAGTGTATGATATAAATTTAAAATTGATAAAATGTGAGAAGTAAATCATTATGATCCGTAGAAATACTTTTGTAATTTTTCTTTTTCAATAATTTGTCTAGCTATAGTGTTGTGCTAGAAAATACCTTTTGTCCAAAAACCTCAATAATGAAAGGCTCACAAATTTCTCCATCCAAAGTCTCTCAATTGTTAAAGTTTCGAAATGATCTCCTTATGACTTATTAACTAAAATTTTATTATCGCCCAAATTTAAAAAAAATCAAATAAAAATGTTTCCCTTATCCAAAGATCCTTAATAGTAATTTATGATAAATTACATTACCCTTGTTACGTTGTATTTGGTTTATAGATTTGAAACAAAAAGAAAAAAAAGATAGTTGTAATATATATAAAATATAATTACATTTTATACTTTTTTTTCTTTTTTCTTTTTAAATCTCTTCTTAAATTTATAAACCAAACATAATCTTAAGAATTGAAAAAAATATAATGAACCTCTTACTTTTCATATAATTATATTGACCTCCTAATTAGTAAAGTTAAAACGATGAAAATTAATACAAATAAAAGTAGATATTAAAATAGCGAATTTTGCAAGGGAGGCCTATGCATCCCATTTTAGGACAAATTTTAGTATATTTTCATGGTTGGTTGGCAGCATTTTTGGAACTTGCGATACGACTTCCACGTAGTAGAGTAGTACCCGCCTTCAAGTTCGTTGATTTCATAACAACCTACCTTCTCTTTCTTAGATCCGAACAATTCTCACTCCAACCTCTCTCTCTCTCTCTCTCTGCTCCTCCTCCTCCTCTTAGTCTAGTGCATAAACACATCACAAAGCTCAGTAGCGGGAACTTCCAAATCTCCATAACTGCCAAATGAGCTCCACTCACCAACAACGCCTCCGCAGTTGCACCACTTGGCTCTTCCTCTTCCTCCTCCTCCTCCTCTACTTCCTCTACTCTTCCAATCTCCTCCTCTTCCAACCCAACTGCCCCCTCCCTTCATCCACCGATGACCACGACTACGACAATATCTCCATCTCCACGCAACAAAAAACCCACACCACCAACTCTTCTTCCTCCAAACTACAACAACACTATCCATCAACAACAACAACACCCATAATCCCCCAAAAGTCCCTCCGATATGACACCCAGCTCAAACACATCGTCTTCTGCATCGCCGCCTCTTCCAAACACTGGGACCAAAGAAAACAATACATAAAGCAGTGGTGGAGACCTAGGCAGACCAGAGGAGTGGTCTGGTTAGATCAGAGAGTCAGGACCAGGCGGCACGAAGCCTCCTCCTTGCCCGAGATTCGGATCTCCGGCACCACCGCCAGTTTCAAGTACACGAACCGCCAGGGTCAGAGATCCGCCCTCAGAATATCGAGGGTGGTTTCGGAGACTCTCAGGCTAGGAATGAAGGACGTGAGGTGGTTCGTGATGGGAGATGACGACACCATTTTCATGGTCGATAATTTGGTGAGGATTTTGTCCAAGTACGATCACAGACAGCTCTATTACGTTGGCAGTTCGTCGGAGAGTCATATTCAGAATATATTTTTCTCGTATGCTATGGCGTTTGGAGGCGGTGGGTTTGCGATAAGTTATCCGTTGGCCAAGGAGTTGGAGAAGATGCAGGACCGGTGTATTCAGCGGTACCCGGGTTTGTATGGGAGCGATGATCGGATTCAGGCTTGTATGTCTGAGCTTGGAGTGCCACTTACCAAGGAACCCGGGTTTCATCAGGTAATTTTAAAAGCCTAATAGACTTACAATTCTTGAAAATGGTGATCAATGATATGAAAGTAGTGATCTTATTTGATTCTAAATTGTTAAATCAATGCCATGACTTTGGAAATTAATTCTAGCGTTTGTGGCTATGCAGTATGATGTGTATGGAAGCCTCTTAGGCCTTTTGGGAGCTCACCCTGTGGCTCCACTGGTGTCCCTCCACCACCTCGACGTAGTGGATCCAATTTTCCCTCGGATGACAAGAGTCCAATCCGTCCGGCACCTGTTTCAATCCACCAAAAACGACTCGGCCAGCATGATGCAGCAATCCATCTGCTACGACAGGGATCGGCATTGGTCCATTTCAGTTTCTTGGGGTTACGTGGTTCAAATCATAAGAGGAGTCATGTCTCCCAGAGAGCTAGAGATGCCTGCGAGAACCTTCCTAAACTGGCACCCTGGAGCCGATTTCACTGCATATGCGTTCAACACAAGGCCTGTGACAAGCCACCCCTGCCAGAAGCCTTTCTTGTATTTTGTGAGAGCATCACAATATCATCAAGGCAGGAGGCAGATTATTGGGGTTTACACTCTTGATCGTCAAGACCCCCACCCTCTTTGTCGATGGAGAATGAACTCACCCGAAAAAATTGACTCTGTCGTGGTCTTCAAAAGACCGGATACCCAACGTTGGGATAAGGTATGGTCTTAATTACTTCGAAACACAATTTTTGTTCTTCTTTGTCATATTTCTGTATTAAGGTTGGATGTGATATGAGTGAAATTTCACTGACTAATTCTTCATTGAATTTAAAAACAAAAAAACCCACTACCAAATTTTGTTTTGGAATTGGCAAACTGTTTTCTTACCCGATATTACTTGTACTAACTAAATCCTAATTTTCTATTGCAGTCACCGAGGAAGGATTGTTGTAGAGTTTTGCGATCGAGTAAGAAAGCACAGATGTATATATGGGTGGGCAATTGCAGAGAAGATGAGGTTGTTGAATTGTAGCAGCAAGAGAGGGAACTAAGTTCAGATCTTTTCATTGTTCTTTCCAGGCCAAGTTCTTCTATGACACGTAGGATACAAAACAATGCCATCATTGTTCATGGAAATTGAGCTCAGATGACTCGAGAGTATTGCGCTCTAGCACATCTAATAGATGCAGAAGCAACCTTTAATTGGACTAACATCACTGATTGATAGAATGGAGTGGCTAAATTTGCTTCATTAAATTTGACACAAGCATGCCAACAATTGTACCTATTCTTACAAGCTAAATTTGTAAGCAAGCAACCCCCATGGTATCATGATGCCATAACCATGAAAGGAGAGTTATTCTGCCAATATTTTCCTAGGAAACAAACACATCCTACGTTTCACATTGTATTGTTTGGTGGTTCTTTGAATTTTTCAATGGCAAACAAATCTCAATGTCTTAACAAATCTCATAAAACTATTGAATCTCAGTACATAAGAAATGATTCTTCAAGACTTCAATCAGTTGGACTCACCGGTTGTGCTTCAGTTTCAATGCTCAGTGTCGGAATCTGAGAAATAGAGGTATTTGGTGGAGTAGTTGATGCCAGGATGGTGAATTCAACATGAGTTTCATCGAGAGGATCTGCCATCTCGATCCTGTGGACTGCCATGATTCTGCCATCTTTGAATTCCAAGTTTACTGCATTCAAATATTTTTTTTTTAAATTAAATAAATTTAAAAAAAAAAATCAATATAAGAACAAAAGTAATAGGCAAATAGTCTCTCTCTCTCTCTCTCTCTCTCTCTCTCTACCTAAAACTCTGTTTTCTCCTTGAGAAAACTATGCAACAGTGTTTTCAATCTCAAGTTTTTATGTTGCTCTGACTTCCAATTGAAAAAATCATGTCGACTAAGGCTGTGTTTGGATCTAGGTTTTGAGTAAGGAAATAAAAATGATAGCTTGTAATTCATTCATTTTTCCCTCTCTATTTCATTTCCCTCCACAAATTTACCCTCAAATTCTTGATCGAAACACAGCCTAATGTCTCCAAATATTGGATGCTCAAGACTAGAGCATGACCAGTAAAAATAGAGAGATATAATAAAGGGGAAAAAAAAAAGAAAAAAATAAATCTGTTATGAGGGATTTCATTACTGAATGAAAAAGTAGATACTCTGATTTCTGTAAAATTTGTACTTGGTATAGAAAGAAGAATAAATGAAAATTTCAGAATTCCTGAGCCTCTATGATTTGAATTAACTTGTCGAGAGGCTCCAAATATTATTCGCTTTAACATTAATTTCTCAGCAACCAAATGGAGCTATTAATTTATTAAACTAAACAAACCTGAAATACACAGTTAGTAATACAAATACGTTCTTCACAAAACATCCAATACGAACAATTTGTGTATATCTATACATAGAGAGAGAATTCAATCTGTGATTCCTTTCTTAGAAAAAATTCTACGTCTCAAACTTGCCATTAATGCCAACAAAAAGAAGATCAAAAACAGAAGCTCAAGCACTATTGCCTCGTTCACACAATTTCCTATCAAGAACCTATTAATTAGAAACGAACAGCGCATCACAACAGCCACAGATCAAAGTACACATACACACATATATGCATATACAATACACGTATGTCTATATAAATACGTATAGAGAGAGAGAGAGGGGCAAGTTTTTGATTATTACCTTGATAAGAGAACCACCAGAGGATGAAGATGCAGAGGAACACAATCACTGGAATAACATGGATCCACTTCTCCGATGATCGGGACCGCGACATCTTCTGGTAGAGGCTAGGGCCCTCGAAAAGCGGTAGGTCGGTGAGACCCTCCGTCTTCCTCCTTGGAGAGTGTTTGGCTTGCGACTGCTGCATTATGTCGATGACATGGTGGTCGTCGCAAGCTCGATTCGAGTTTGTAGGCCTCTGCATTGCAACACAAAGAGAGAGAGAGAGAGAGAGAGTTAGGGTTTGTGCAGAGAGAGAGAGGGGGAGGAACTGTGATTGTGGAAATGGAGACGACGACTAGTTAGTTAGTTAGTTAGTTGGAGTGGTTTTGTTAACGAATTTTGGGCGCCAAAAATTTCCCTAACAAATTAAATTGGGAAACTATCATAATAGTGAGATGTTGAAAAAATAATTACACAGGGATGGGAAACTTTATAAATATTAATAATTGAATTCAAGTTTCAACTTGCGTAGTCAGAGTTTTCCTCTTTTTATATCTTCTTGTTTTTACTTAGAGCAATGTTTATATATGCGGAATTTATTTATTTATTTTAATTGGAATAGATGAAAAATATATTATTTCTTTTTTAATAATTATTTTTAAATGCAAAATAAATTACAATAATCAATCCAAATAGTTTAACACAAACCAGTGGTATGAAGCTAAATATATTTAACAATTTTCTTTTATTAAACATCTCTAATTTTGTATCAAATTTTGTATCAAATTTAACAAAAATAACATCTAATCATTTCATCAAAATTATATCAAATTAATTTTTATTAAAATTTTCATTAAATTAAGATAAGAATCTTTTTTCACCAAATTTGATGAAAGACATTTTTGGGAATAAGTTTAGAATTTTTAACAAAGATTTGATAAAAAATAACGCTTAATTAAGAGAGAGGTTTACGACCTAATATTGGGCCGAGTTGATTTGGACCAGAGTCAAAGTCTTTGCTTGATTAGATGTTGGGTGCACACAGACCAAGGACTCAGTTTGGTCGAGTTGGAACAATTTTGGATTGCCAGTCCGGAAGAGATGTGCGCTCTACAAAGTTGGACAAGATTAGTCCTCCTAACGTCAGGATTGACCGAGCAAGAGCTCGGTAGTGACTAAGGAGCTCGGTCGAGCCATGGTGTGGAATTATCAAAGAAACTGGACAAGTAACACGGTCGTAAGGTGATGACGTGGCGCCACACTAAGCATAGCTCGGTGGAGAGTACTACACGGCGCCACGGGACTGTAGGAAGGAGATTCCGCTGTCTGTACAAGCCAATACCGTTTGGCAGTTTTGCTAGGTGGTGTTTAGCTGTATTAGTACTGACACGTGGGGAAAAGTAAGAAGAGAGCAGGTCTACGTGTCCCGAGGGGAATGGGGGCAAAAGCGCGCGCATAAACTATATAAATGATGTTGCGCCTCCATCATCAGGTCTGGAACATCCTCTGGTCAGAACTCACCTACCGCTTTGTCTCCTCTCTCTTCTCTCTTTCTAAGTGTGCTAACTTGACCGTCGAAGGGGTTTTTCAGCAGCACACCGCCGAGGAGCTCACCGTCATTGTATTCTCAAGTCGATAAGAGGGAAGTGCAGCTTGGACACGAGGAGTACGGATACGTCAGATATTTGGCCTCTGTACAATTGGTGCCGTATGTGGAAAGCTCCGACAGACAAAACGTTGTCCTCAAAGCTCTTCAGATCATCTTTCACAGCAAACAACGACGAAGTCCCACTGTCTGCCATCAACAGCATCACTCTAGAGCCCGTTCGGAGAATAGATGGTCCTCCCGCCATCCCAACCATGGCTGGCCTAGAGACCTCTCCTAGAGGGCTCCCTAGAGATACGCGAGACAAGTGCGCAAGGTGCACTGACCACTCGCAAAGTGCCAACGGGCACCGACGGCGAGAGAGTCACACGCTAAGTGTCTGGGCATAAGTTAAGAGACCAAGACGCCATCATTCGAAGGATGGCAGTAGAGATGGAGGCGCTGAAGCGGCAGGTCAAAAGGAAGGGTGTTGCTGGAGTGGGTAACCACAGTGTGCGCATCCAACCCCGTCGCTAAGGCAGCCAGAACCAACGGCGGACGCCATCCCTCTCCATCACCAAAAGTTATGGGGTTGGTGACTCTGACCCACCAGCAGAGAAATCTTACGCACGAGACAGGAGATACCGTCCCTCACGTCCGTCGACGACGTCCAAATATTCCTATTTCGCTCGTTCAGAGGACCTGAGAGACGTCTTGGAAGAACGAGCGCGCCGGCGGGAGGCGCAAAGGGTGCCAGCGGGCGTTGTAACAGTTATCCCACAAAGGTCGCGCCAGTGAAGAAGTCGTAATGCCGCCACCACGCCCAGCTATACAAGTCCCTTTGGACAAAGACTTGGCAAGGCTGAGTGCCACCCATTTGTCCCTCGAGATAGAGGCCACACCGCTCCCTGTAGGCTTTCACCAGCCCAAGTTTACGCTCTACGATGGAAAAACCAATCCATACATGTATGTGAGCCACTTCCGGCAGGTTATGGCTGGCTACAGGCAGAACGACGCACTTATGTGCCTTATCTTCCCATCAAGTTTGGGTGATTTGGGCCTGGGCTTGAAATGGTTCGAGAAGTTGCGGGAGGAAAGTATCAAAAGGTGGCAGCAGTTGGCGGAAGCGTTCGTAACCCGATTCAAAACCAACACCAAAATGCCGAAGGAAGTCGACTACCTTTTGAGCGTTAAGATGGAGCCGGGCGACTCTGTCAAAGCATACAACACCAAATATTGGGAAACCTTCAATGAAATCCTTGATTGTCCGACCAACCTGGTAACCGCCCAATACAAGTGCGGCCTCCCTGTCAGACATAGACTGAGGGGCTCGCTCACCATGAACCAAGCAACGACTATGGAGCTATTAATGCAACAAATCAACGAGCACATCCGAGTAGACGATGATACTGCCGCGGCCACCGCAAAGACAAATCTAGTGACAACAGACAAAAGAGTGGCTGGAAAGGTTCACGCAGTCGGACATGAGGCAAACCGTCCGAGTAACAGCGAAAGAGAGTCAGATCGCGGTGCAGACCACAACAACCGGGGTAAGGGTCATCGCAATGACCGAGCTGATTACCTTCGTGACGCCGCGGAAGATGCGATGAGAAAGTTGAACACCCGAACAGGTATCACCATAGTTTTCAAGATCCCAATCTACCGCATCTTTAGCGAAATCCGTGACGAGATGTACGTCCAGTTTTTGACTAAATTGGGCGACGCACAGAGGGGTTTCAATCCACGGTATCACTGCACCTTTCATGGTGAGTGAGGGCACCATACCGAGGACTGTCTGCCTCTGAAACAACAATTGAAGGAGTTGGTGGCCGCTAGCCACTTAGACCATTACATTGACAGAGGCGTCAAGGCCACGACCTACGCTCCAGCTGAGCCAAATGGTTTGGCCGCCCTAAAAGCACCCCCCCAAGGCATGATCAATGTTATCCATGGTATCATCAAGCCAACGCTTATATGCGAGCTCCAAGGGATAATCAAAAAAACAGAGCATATAAGGGAAGTCCTGTCAGTCCAGCCCGCGATCAAAAATAGAAACTGAGGTGAAAGACGTGCTCAGCTTTTCAAGCTGAGATCTTAAATGAATTCAAACGCCGTACAATGGCGCGCTTGTGGTCACCCTTTGCGTCAGGGAATTTAACGTTCAGCACATTCCAATTGACCAAGGCAACTCAGTCGAAATAATGTACTACAACGCCTTCAAGCAACTCATGCTAAGTGATAAAGACTTGGCCCCAGCGACCTCGCCGGTGGTCGGTTTCAACTCACAACCGGAGTGGCCCATAAGAAAAATCATTTTACCAGTCAAAGTCGGGTCCGTGGTCAAGTAGGTGGAGTTCTGGATGTTGAATCTGTCCTCCACTCACAATCCGATCTTAGGTAGAGGATAGCTTCACGCCATGTAAGCAGTGGCTTCGACCTACCACCAAGTCATGAGGTTCCCCTCTACTTCGGGGATGGTTGAGGAAATTTGGGGTGATCAAGTCATCGCCAAGCAGTGTTTTGTGGTCATAAATGGGAGCCGAGCTGCCAAAGGCTTCGTGCAAATGATCAAAGTACCGAAAGATCAAAGTGTCCTGGATGATGTGGATATCAAGGCTGAAGAAAAGGCTATTGAAGACTTGGTGGAGATATGGGTCAACGAGAGTGATCCGAAGAAGTTCTTTCTGTTGGGATCCAGCTTGACCGCCTAAGAACAATTGGAGATGGTTGAGTTCTTAGTGGCAAATATCGAAATATTTGCATGGACGCCTTAAGACATGCCTAGCGTCAACCTAAACTTTATTTGCCACCAACTCAACGTCTTTCTGAATGCCCGACCAGTCATCCAAAGAGCCAGGTAATCCGCGCTTCATCACGCCGAAGTAGTGGCGGAGGAAGTTAAAAACTTGCTTGAAGCAAGGGCTATTTAGCAGGTACACTACCCTCGGTGGGCTTCCAACACGATCGTAGTACCAAAGAAGAATAGGAAATGGCGTGTTTGCGTCGACTACAAGACGGTCAACCAAGCTTGCCCCAAGAACAGTTTTTCCTTGCCCAGAATTGACCAACTGGTGGATTTAACGGCCGGGCACAACTGGCTCAATTTCCTGAACGCTTATCGCGGCTAGCACCAAATTGCCATGCATGAGCCCGACCGAGAAATTACTTCTTTTATAACTCCAAGAGGATTGTTCTACTATAGAGTTATGCCCTTTAGGTTGAAGAACGCTGGGGCAACGTTTTAGAGGATAGTTACGAAGATGTTCGCTCCTTTTCTTGTTCGCACAATAGAGGCCTATATCGACGACATGGTCATGAAGAGCAAATGTGCAGCCAACTACTTAGCTGACTTAAAAAAGATGTTCGTCATTCTCAAACAACACAAGTTGCGTCTAAATGCGTCGAAGTGTGCCTTCGGCATGGAGTCGAGGAAATTCTTGGGCTTTCTGGTCACCAACCGTGGCATCGAAGCGGATCCCTTCTAAATCAAGGCCATACAAGAATTGAAGTAGCCCAACTCGATGAAGGACGTGCAACACCTTGCCGGGATAGCAGCTATGCTTAACCGATTCATAAGCCAGTCATCAGATCGGTGCCACCCTTTCTTCCAAGCCTTGAAGTCCAAGTTTTCATGGGATGAAGAATGCGATAGAGCCTTAGCCAAGCTAAAGACATATCTATCTTCCGCTCCACTCTTGGTCACGCCGAGGCATGTTGAAAAACTCTATCTTTATCTGGCTATTTCTCAACATGTCGTAAGTGCGGTACTTGTTCAAGCAGAGGGCATCCAACATTTATCGATCTTCTACGTGAGCAAAACCTTGCTCCTAGCAAAGTCGAGATACTTGCCGCTGGAGAAACTTGTCTTAGCACTAATGATGGCCTCAAGGAAATTGGCACACTACTTTCATGCTCACACGATCGTGGTTCTAATTGAATTCCCTTTGAAAGCCTTTTTTGAGTCGGCAGACTTCTTTGGCCGAATCTTGAAGTGAACAGTCGAGTTAGGGCAATTCGACGTCAAGTTTCAATCCCGAACCGCCATCAAAGCCCAAGCATTGGCCGACTTCGTTGCAGAATTTTTGCCTGGAATTCACTCTGTTTGCTCGATAGATCTTACCGACATAACCGAGCTGCAGAGGGTAGGCACAGTGAAAATTGCACAACCTTCTATCCAACCGAATGCCGAAGGCGACACGAAAGTTGCGCGCCTGTCTACAGACCCATCACTTGAAAGCTCACTTTGACCTGGCAATATGCGTTTGGATTGGAGAATAACAAGACAACCTGTTAGATCCAACGCCGCATTGCCAATGAGGGATGAAGGCATGTTTGTTGCAATGGTCAACGTCGCGCTTGCTGTAGAAAATCGAGCAATTCTGATCACCTGAACCTTCAAACGTCCCAGGACCTTGCAGAATGTTGAAAGCTTTTCATCAGTGAAATGTGAAAACTTTTCATCGATGGAGCCTCAAATAGACATGGAGTCGAGCTGGGAGTAGTCTTGATCTCCCTAGACGGACTGACCATTGAACATTCTATCACACTGGGATTTCTTGCATCAAACAATGAGGTAGAGTATGAAACGCTGCTAGCCAGATTGAAAAGCGCACTCCAAATGCAAGCATCCGAGTTGATAGTCTACAGTGACTCCCAACTCGATGTAAACCAAGTATCTGAGGAATACAAAGCCAAAGATGACAAAATGGCCAAGTACCAAACTTTGGTAAGAAAGCAAATCAAGAAATTCCAAGCCATAAAAGTCTAACAAATTGGCCAAGAAGATAACGGTCAGGCAGATGAATTGGCCGATTTAGCTTCCATGGCCGACAAATTATCCCCTAGCCCTCTCCTGATTGAATTCCTCCCATGACTTAGCATTGAAAACTCAAAGCAGACGGAAGTTCTCTATACCAAGCTAGGTCCTTCTTGGATGGACCCTATCATCATTTTCCTTAAAGAAAGGATTCTACTTGCCAACAAGAGAAAGGCACACAAAATTTGGGTGAAGTCTGAGTGGTTTTGGAACTCTCCATCCGGCGCTTTGTATAAGAAGTCATTCACGGGTCCATACCTCAAATGCGTTCACCCAAACCGAGTCAATACTTTTCTTTTTAAGATCCACGAAGAAATGTGTGGAAGCCACATTGGCGGGAGATCTTTAGCCTACTACGTTATTTCGCAAGGACACTGGTGGCCGTGCATACAGGCAGATGCACAGAAATATGTGAGAAATTGCAAAAAGTGCCAGAAGTTCGCCCACCAAATTCATCAGCCGACCAGAGAGCTCCTTCCTCTCACAAGTCCTTGGCCTTTCACAATGTAGGGGCTTGACATAGTGGGACCACTCCCAACCGGGCAACCGCAAGTTCTTCATAGCGGCGACAGACTACTTCACCAAATGGGTCGAAGCCGAGCCCTTGGCGACAATTAAAGAAAAGGACGTGAAGAATTTTGTTTGGCAGAACGTGATAACGCAGTTTGGAGTCCCCAAGGCTTTGATCTCTGACAATGGCACCTAATTTGATGGACGGTTGTTCAGAGAATTTTGTGAGGAACTAAAGATAGAATCTTATAATTCCATACCGGCCTACCCTCAGTCCAACGGCCAAGCTGAAGCATCAAACAAGACCATCCTAGATGGGCTGAAGAAAAGGTTAGAGAAAGCCAAAGGAAAGTGGGCTGAGAAACTTCCAAATGTCCTCTGGGTTTACCAAATAACTCCAAGACACTCGATTGGGGAGATGGCTTTCGCCTTGGCATGTGGCATAAAGACAATCATCCCATTGGAGATTGGTATGCCCACCATCTGCAGTGAAAATTTTGAGCCTAACTTAAATGCCGAAGCCATCGCTCTAGAACTGGACCTTGCAGAAGAACGCCGAGAAAAGTGCTGATCCATGTCGCAACATATCAACAAGAACTGTCCAAAAAGTGTAACAAAACAGTTCACTCCAAACAGTTCATGGTCGGGGATTGGGTCTTAAGGAAGGTAATGGGCAACACTCATGTGCCGGGCGAAGGGAAGCTAAGGGCAAACTGGAAAGAGCCTTACAAGATAACTGGTTTGGTAGGCAAAGGGGCATACCATCTAGAAGACTTGGACGGCAAAACTATACTCCGGCCATGGAACGCAGCCAATCTGAAGTTGTATTATTTTTAATTTTAATATTTGATGTAATTTTTTGTAAGGGACAGGCATTCTCCTCCATTTACCAATATAACTCTTTCAGCCACCATGTGAATTTATGAAAGCTATATGTAATAGAAATGAATTACTATACATAGAAAATTTATCGTAGTTAATGGATTGCAATGAACAAGGGGCAACTGTCTCCCAACCAAGGTTATTTTACCCAGTTAAAGGGGTTAAATTATTCAACTCTAAGCTCTTGACCGAGATGATTTTACTCGATCAAAAGAGTTGATGAATTGTTCAACTCAAAGTTTTTTACCGAGGTGGCTTTATCCGGTCAAAAAAGTTGATGACTTGTTCAACTCTAAGCCTTTAACTGAGATGATTTTGCTCGGCTATTAGGTCTTAGCAGAGGTGATGTTGCTCGGCTTAGAGAATTGATGAATTGTTCAACTCTAGGTTTTAGCCGAGGTGATTTTGCCCGTCTCAGAGGATTGATGAATTATTCAACTCTAGGCTTTAAGTCGAGGTGATTTCGCTCAGATCAAGAGTTGATGAATTGTTCAACTCTAGGTTTTAGCTGAGATGATTTTGCTCGGCCATTAGGGTCGATGAATTGTTCAACTCTCAGCTTTTAG